ATGGCAGAGTATGAGGCGTGCATCATGGGTCTTCAAGCTGCGATCGACTTAAGGATCAAGTTTCTAAGTGTCTTCGGAGATTCCGCTCTCGTGATCAATCAGATCAAAGGAGAGTGGGATACGAAACATCCGAATCTTATTCCTTACAGAGAATGTGTGTTGACCTTGATCCCCCACTTCACGAAGATAACCTTTGAACACTTTCCGAGAGAGGAGAATCAGCTGGCGGACGCGTTAGCTACAATGTCTTCTATGTTCAAGGTCAAATGGGATAATGAGGCTCCCCGGATCATCATCTGGAAACTGGACGAACCGGCATACTGTTGCGATCTCGAGACTGAATTGGTGACTGAGAAGCCTTGGTACCATGAGGTGAAGAGATATCTGGAAGCTCAGGAATACCCTGAGGGTGCCTCTGTCAATGATAAGAAATTCCTGAGAAGGTTCGCGGCAAAGTTCTTCCTTAGCAACGGCATCTTGTACAAGCGAAACCATGATTCAACCTTACTGCGTTGTGTGGATAAGACTGAAGCAGAAAGGATCATGGAAGAGTTACATGAAGGGACCTTTGGTACACACTCCAGTGGGCACACTATGGCAAAGAAGATCCTACGGGCAGGGTATTTCTGGTCCACCATGGAAGCTGACTGCTACCAACATTCTCGGATATGCCATAAGTGCCAGATTTATGCAGACAAGGTGCATGTTCCTCCAGTTCCTTTGAATGTTATGACTGCGCCTTGGCCGTTTGCAATGTGGGGCATAGACATGATCGGTGAGATTAAACCTACAGCGTCTAACGGGCATCGTTTCATCCTGGTAGCGATTGATTACTTTACGAAGTGGGTCGAAGCAGCTTCTTACGCTACGGTGACCAAGGCTGTTGTGGCACGGTTCATTCGGCATAATCTGATCTGTCGGTACGGCGTCCCAGAGAGGATCATTACAGACAACGGTACCAATTTGAATAATAAGATGATCACTGAGCTCTACGAGCAGTTCAAAATACAGCACCACAATTCTTCTCCTTACAGACCGAAGATGAATGGGGCTGTGGAAGCAGCAAATAAGAACATTAAGAAAATCGTACAGAAGATGACAGTGACTTACAAGGATTGGCATGAGATGTTACCGTTCGCTCTACATGGGTACCGTACCTCAGCCAGGACGTCAACCGGGGCAACTCCTTTCTCCTTGGTCTACGGTATGGAGGCAGTCTTACCAATCGAAGTGCAAATACCCTCTCTCCGGATAATGAAGGATGCAAATCTGAACGAAGATGATTGGATCCAGACACGACTTGATCAACTAAACTTAATTGATGAAAAGAGGCTTGCTGCTATCTGTCATGGTCAGACGTATCAGAAACGGATGATCAGGGCATTTAACAAAAAGGTCAGACCACAGGAATATCAAGTTGGGGATCTGGTAATCAAGCGCATCATCCTTCCTCAGAGTGATCCAAGGGGTAAATGGACCCCTACATACGAAGGGCCATTTGTGGTTAAGCATGTGTTCTCAGGAGGAGCCATGATTCTAACCAACATGGATGGTGACGACCTTCCTCACCCCGCCAATGCAGACATAGTAAAAAGATACTACGCATAAAAAAAAGACCCGCTAGGCTGACATGCCTAGGCAAAAATTAGGGCTTCCCGGCGAACCAAAAGGGTTCGGGCAAAATGAAGGGATGAAATGAAAAAATCTGTACACCCGGCAAGTCGAAAACCTGAAAAGGTGGCTTGGGCAAAAATGGGTATCCCGGTGGACTGAAAATCTGAAAGGGCGGTCCAGGCAAAAGTTAGGGATAAAAGCGTAATACTATGTCTCATTGGATCACTTTCCATCCAGAATCCGGTATCTACATCAAGTTCAGACGGCATCGATCAGTCAGCTTCACCTTCAACCAAGGTCATCAAGTGATGAGACGCTCGAAGTTATAAAGGCAATAGCAGAATTGAAACCCAGTGGGATCGTTCATTTCACACAGCTGTTTTATTTTCTCTTGTACAAAATTTGTATAAACTCTTTTGTTCGGCGGCGTCCTCTTACTAGGACGTCAGCCTCTTGTACATAAACGCCTATTTACAGGCAAATTCAAAATCAATAGAAAAATCACTTTTCAGTCAAAATCACCAATTGTTTTTCTTTTCCTGTTTTGTTTTGCGAAGAACGTCCAAGGTTCAATTTGTGATATATGCATTGACAATAATTTTCTAACTCATAAATGTTTGCATACGAAACAAAGGATTAATTACAGGTAACATTAGAAACAGGGGCAATAAAGAGTTGTCTACGCAATCTAATTGTTCTATCCACTAAGGTACCAAGGTAGGTTCAACTAAAGAACATAACCAGATATCCTAATTCCCCAGAGAATAAGCCAGCAAGTCAGTACACTCTCACAAAGCTATTACCAGCCTTAAGGAAGTTGAGTATCCTCCAGCAGACCTCAACATTCCCCAGCAGCATATATATTCTTAACAAGCATCCCCGGCAGTCTTGACCTAAAGATTGTTTCCCGGCGGTCTATCAAACATTCAATGGAGTCACTTCCCCGATACAGTTCAAACTTCCCCAAGAGAGTCCAATCCAGTTCCCCAGGAAATTTGGAATTCATCTCCCCAAGCAGTAAGCTTATCCCCAGTAGATTCTGGAAGCTTATCCTCACAGAGCACGGACGCGTCCCCCGGCTTTATAAAAAGAGTTATTTTCCTTACCAGGATATAACTGGGTTATCCTCAGCCAAAAGCCACAGAAAGATCGTTGTCAACGCAGTCTTCTTATCCCCAGCGAAGTCTATTAACACTTCCAACACAACAAGGGTATCCCCAGCAAGTTATTATCAACAGCTCAGCAAAGTACCACTCTCCCCATAGAGTATTGCTTCCCAGCAAGACCGTTAGAATACTTCTCTCCCCGCAGAGCAATCCATTCGCCAAGTTTATTCCCCAACGGAGTCATCTTCTCCTACCGGTATTCTTGCAACTATTATCCCCAGCGGAAGCAAAGGTCTATTCTTCAAACATTAGCCCAGGAGTTAACTTCCCGGCATCCGTCAAGGATTTACTTTCCTAAGATGAAAACATACACATCACATCTTCATACATTATAGCATGCATGTACGCATCATGAACATACAATCTCACTTATTCTGAGAGCATCCTGCATGTCATACAACATGACATCGCATACAACTAACGCTTGTCTTTTCAGGACAAAGGTCGGTACAAAAATGATTATTATCAATGGTCGCAACTAAAGATCCGATTCCTGTATCTTGCCAGGGTGTGTCTGTTAATGACCATTACCAGATCTGATTCCTGTATCTTGCCAGGGTGTGTCTGAAGAGTTCGAGGATCTGATGCCTGAATCTTGCCAGGGTGTATCCGTTGAAGACTAACATTACCAGATCCGATTCCTGTATCTTGCCAGGGTGTGTCTAAAGAGTTCGAGGATCTGATGCCTGAATCTTGCCAGGGTGTATCCGTTGAAGACTAACATTACCAGATCTGATTCCTGTATCTTGCCAGGGTGTGTCTGAAGAGTTCGAGGATCCGATGCCTGAATCTTGCCAGGGTGTATCCGTTGAAGACTAACATTACCAGATCTGATTCCTGTATCTTGCCAGGGTGTGTCTGAAGAGTTCGAGGATCCGATGCCTGAATCTTGCCAGGGTGTATCCGTTGAAGACTAACATTACCAGATCCGATTCCTGTATCTTGCCAGGGTGTGTCTGAAGAGTTCGAGGATCCGATGCCTGAATCTTGCCGTAGTGTATCTGTTGAAGACTAACATTACCAGATCCGATTCCTGTATCTTGGCAGGGTGTGTCTGAAGAGTTTGAGGATCTGATGCCTGTATCTTGCCAGGGTGTATCCGGTGAAGACTAACATTACCAGATCCGATTCCTGTATCTTGCCAGGGTGTATCTGTTGAAGACATTTCAAGACCTAGACCGGTTCAGTTAATCGACCCTAAGATTTTCTGTCTCTTATCCAGTCATAGGCCTTCTCTAGTCCAGTTAAGTCGACCCCTAACAGATTTTCCTGATAAAGACCCAGCAGAAGTTATCCAAGATTCTCTCAGTGATTGCTATTGAGGTTGTAGTCGCCTATGGTTCTCTCCCCGATCCTGCGGAGGTGGTAATCCCAGATTTCGCTCAAAGATTGCTGTTGAAGTTGAAGTTATCCAAGATTCTCTCAATGATTGCTGTTGAGGTTGTAGTCACCTATGGTTCTCTCCCCGATACTGCGGAGGTGGTAATCCCAGATTCGCTCAACGATTGTTGTTGAAGTTGAAGTTATCCAGATTCTCTCAATGATTGCTATTGAGGTTGTAGTCGCCTGTGGTTCTCTCCCCGATCCTGCGGAGGTAGTAATCATCCCAAGATGTTCTCAACGATTGTTGTTGAGGTTAAAGTCATCCAAAGTTCTCTCACCGTTCACTACGCCAAAAATGATTTTTTGTATCACCTAATTTAATAGCACTTTTAAAAAAAATGCTATTAAAATGGAAAAAACACATTTATAATAGCACTTTTTAATCGGGCGCTATTATATAATACAGACTATGTAATTATGATAGCACTTTGTACCAGAACGCTATTATTAAACTTCTTTAAGATAGCATTTTGTATAAAACGCTATTATTTAACTACCTATATAATAGCATTTATTAAAAAGCGCTATGTTATATATAATAATGAATTAATTAATTAATTGATAAAAAAAACACTCACCGCCAAAAACAAAAAACACTATGATTCTGAAGGTTCAATTTCGCGATGGGATTAAAATCCGTCGGTGAATACCTCAGAATCGTAGCGTAGTTTTTGCAAAAATTTGGGTTAGTTTCTTCACTATAAGTCCTTTTTTGTTTAATTTATGTTATGAGTTAGTAATGAAAGTGGAATTGGAATTGGAATTTGAACAGGGAATTTGTGAGTTGGAATTGAAAATTAGGGTCTGGTTGGGTCTGTTTCTTTTGCTGTTTGGGTGATGGATGAGGTTAGACATGGAGGTAGTAGTAGTTGTAGTAGTGAAGCGGAGCAGACTCAGTCCAGAGCTACGTTTGTTGAAACGGCGTCGTCTTCCTCTTCATCAGGATGGTGTCCCAGGGAGCTTGCTTTTGCTCCTTTTGTGCCGCAGCAACAAAAAGAAGATAAACGAGTTAATGCTGCTGGGAAATCCTCAAAGTATCGTGCACTTGTTAGGAAGCCTGTAAGTTTGTTTCTTTTTGTTGGTGATTTTGGTTATTTATTTTGTCATTGTTGTTATTGTATTAGTTTGTGGTTTGGAATTAGTTTGTGTTTTAGGAAATGTTCATGTGTGTTGTGAAGGAATTTTTGCTTTGACAGTATTTTGACTCGGAAGTGTTTTTTTTTTGTGTGGGTGAGTTGAGAGTTCTCTCGGCGGTAGGTAATCCGGTTTGAGGAGTTAGTCGGAGAGATTTCTTCAAACCAGTAATGTCAATGTTGGATGGCCAAAAAGTAAAAAAGTAAAAACTCCTATCTATGAATGTCTATCATTCCTAGGTTGATATTTATAAGATCCATCAAACGCTTCCTTGTATCCCCTTAGTCAATGTTTTTTTCAGTTAATGTCTTCAAGAAGCATTTGACTTGATTATCCATCCTCACGTCAGTTAACTATTCAGTTTCTCTTTTGTGATGTTCTGGTTTATCTGATTTTGTTGTCTTATCTAGTTGGATTGGATTAGAGGCTAATGGCCAATTTGAGGTTTAATGTTGCCGGGAGGTATCCAAATCATCATGTAAGGTACGGCTGGTCAAGTGATGTTTATTTAAAGTGGGGTAATACAACAAAATGACACGGGGAATGGAATCTCATATTGTTAGTTGTAAAAGTACCTGAGTCAGTAACCCATGACCCCTTAGATATTATAGTAGAACCATTCAAGCTTAGGGAATTGATGTTGTTATTAATTGTGGCTAGAAGGAGGCACATGAGTCTGACATTTTTGAATACGGGATGGCACATGTGATGATGGCTGATGGTATATCTCTAGTATTTGATTGAATTGGGGGTGATCACCTTGTGAGTTTGTTGGACATAGTTTTTGCAATGGCAGGTGTTGACAATGGCTGGTTTGGTGTTTAGAGATTATCCTGAACTCAATGAATGCATCAGTGGGAGTATCGAGTGCAGGTGTAATGAAGGCATTATGGTAGATAAGTCTTGCAGACCGGAAGCCTTTCTACCAACATGAAATCAGATGACTATTAATGAAAACAGTATTACAGTATTATTGATTGGTGATTTCGTGTATGAACCATTTCAATATATTATTGACCCAACTACTTCAGTAGTTGTCTAAAACAAAATCTCTTTCAATATGTGATAACTAACTATCCTAATAAAAGAGCATTTACATAAATTACATTGTTTACAAAGTGGGCTAAGACTACGCCCCTTAAAAGCCTGTGTGAGGTGGTCGTGGATTTTTAAATGCATATTTTAAAACAAAACATGTTTAGACTCTGCAAAGGAATACATTTGCACTTGTTCTTTTTCAACCATTCATTCCTATATTGAATTGGCACTTTCTTCCCAGTCCTTTTTTACCTGTTTGAGCTCTGTTTTAGTTCCCAGGCTTTTCTTTAAAGCTCTGGCTCGCCTTGATTTGTGCGTTGATGTGGAGTTTGAGATGCATACGCGTGGGAGGAGTCATTTGTAGGATTTGCTTTCTTTGTATGTTGGTGTGCTGATGATGTGATTTACTTGAGAACTTTGTTGGCAACTAAAGCATGTTCTAACTGAAGATCAGTTAGAAGATATACTCACTAGAATAGTCTTTCTAGGAAGTAGGTAAATGCTAATATGTGCACGTGCGTGCACACATATAGATAGATATACAGAGAGAGATCACTGCTATCTCTAATTTTTATTTCTAATTAATGCGACTGTTTGGAGCTTAGAGTACTGAAAAATTTCAATTGGTGCTCAACTTCTAATTTGCAGTTGGTGGCAAGATTGACCAAGGAAATAGTTGAAACATATCAAATATGCAATCCACAGTTTAAATATTCCGAAGATCTAAATCCAAAGAGATTTTTGACCAGTCCATCTACTGGAGTGCTTAATGATGGCTATGATAATCTAAACTCAGATCTTATTCTGACAGTGAATTTGGTCTTGATCCATGTAGAGAAAAGTAGAAGGTTAGTCATACATGTTTTGTTTCTTCATTCCATGTAATAATTATATATGCTTAACGAATACCAACACTTGTTGATTTTATGGGGATACCAAAGGTGTCACATTAATCACTGGCAAAATCTCTACTTCATATAACTTACATTCTGTTATGGTGTAGATATACTGTCAAAGATCTCCTTGGCCACGGGACATTTGGACAAGTGGCCAAATGTTGGGATTCCGATACCAACAGTTTTGTTGCTGTGAAGATCATTAAAAATCAACCTGCGTATTATCAATAGGCGCTGGTTGAAGTAACTATTTTAACAACTGTAACCAGTTATTATTAATATTATTATCATTATTAAGATGTAACAATGAGAAGATTCTCAGGAAGAGTCACTTTTTTTCCTGTAGTTAAATAAGAAGTACGATCCTGAGGATAAGCATCACATTGTTCGTATATTTGATTATTTTGTATATCAACGGCATTTGTGCATATGCTTTGAATTGCTGGACACAAACCTGTAAGTTGTTATCATCTTTTCTGTTTGATACTTGTCTGGCTTTCATCAATGGGAATGTATCAGAACTCGGATGATGTTCAATTTCAACTGAACTAAAAATCTTGGATGAATTATGCAATGATGCTGCCCTAGAATTTTTATCCCTCCCTCTTGCATATTTTGGTATTGACATGATATAGTATACAGGTATGGGCTTATCAAAATGAATCATTTTAGGGGATTGTCACTTGGTATTGTTCAACTGTTCTCTAAGCAGGTATGCCAGTTCTGTGTGGCTAAGCTCTTTAGTCCTTTTTTGCTGGTTTTGATATCTTATCTCATCATAATCTATTTTCTTAAACTTATGTTTTAAGATTTTATGTGGACTGGCTCTATTAAAAGATGCTGGCATTATTCATTGTGATCTGAAGCCAGAAAACATCCTTTTATGTGCGAGGTTGGTTTCTTACATGAAGATGCTCATAAAGAACTATATGTTGCAGCTATTTTTGTTAACTTTGCGTGTATGCTGCAGCTATTTCATTTTGAGATTTTATTTAGCCCTTGTTTTGTGCCTAGCAGTGCGAATCAAACAGAAATAAAGATTATTGACTTTGGATCAGCATGCATGGAAAACCGCACTGTGTATTCCTATATTCAGGTATACATTCACTGTCAAAAGTAGAATTTTATGAAACTCCTGTTTTAGTTATAATTATTTGGTACTTACATTACATGTATTACCTATTTCTTGTGCAGAGTCGATACTATAGGTCTCCTGAGGTTCTTCTTGGATATCAGTATCCTAACCCATGAAATTAGTAACTTATAGCCTGATTCCTTTCTTTGCAGGCTTTTTTATTTCTATTTTTCATTCCTTATATTTTCTTGCCTCATCATCTTCTTACATTACAAACTGCATGCAGTTGGCATAGTATTGTCAATTACTCTTATGATAAACTTTGTGCTATAGCATGCGAAACCATAGTTTGGGTTTATGTTGATGATATCAGGCCAAAAAATGAATAATTTTGCCAAAACTTCATCTTATGACAATTAAAGCTGCTACATTTATTTCTTGCTTGCTATTTTACTACTATGACTTAGTTATGGAGCATCATTAAAGAACATTTTTTGTTCAACTGGAGCTACTGTCCATCACCCCGGACCATGTTTTCCTTCATTTTGTTCATAGGGGTGGGGAATGAATTTGTTGATTTGCCAAAACGAAGTCTTTCTTCAGTACTCTTTATGTGCCAGGTTTGTTATATTCACATTGCAACACAATATACATTATTCTTGTACTCTGTATGCTATAAAGAAATAATTGAAGCATACACAGAGATGTTATATTTATGTAGCAGCATGCTGTTGTCTAAATTGATGTCACACATAGCGTTCTTGTTATATATTCTTCGGAAGAAGTTATTAGCTAATTTTCAAGTTATTTACATGTTTTTTTTGCTTCATAGTTACATTGGCCCTTAACCCATCATTAGATACACAACAGCTATTGATATGTGGTCCTTTGGGTGCATAGTGGCGGAATTATTTCTTGGATTACCATTATTCCCCGGGGCTTCAGAATTTGATCTTTTGAAAAGGATGATTGAAATAATTGGGTATGCTACTATCTCTTGAGGAGAAACATATTTTATTCATGTGACTATCCATTTTATATACCAAAAGTATGATATCGCCTTGAAGATATTTTAGCCCTGTTTATCTTAACTCTAAATTATACTTTATATGTCAGCCAGATGAATAATGGTAAAATGAAACATAAATTCAAGTTTCATTTTTATTTAACAAAGTTTTTCTTGCAAAATAAGGGTTACCCTCACCGTCTTAGGTTTTGGGTTGGGAGGGACTAACTAAACCCCACAAAATCGAACTGTAAGGTGAGAGTTGCTTTCAGCTTATTATGTGGGGTTCACTACACCCTCTTCAATAGAGAACATCTGAGCTCTGAAGCGTGATCTAGGTGGCTCGATAACAGGTCACCTATAGAATCTAGGATAGACTTTGATTGTCCTCATCTTATGGGCCAGATAGTAGCGATCTAAAGAGAGCAGTTTGTTAAGCATTTATAGCTTCAACATCTACTTTGATGGGGAGAAGAGAACTCCATTTGTCAAAAACGATAAATGAAGTATAAATTTGAGACATGTTCTCTTTTAATCCTGATTAAAATAGTGCTTGGCAGAGGTCATATAGTTGAGTCAAATTATCTATTGTGAGGTTCTTTCCTTGTAATCTTAGTGTGAAGTGTTATCATCTACTTCCAACTCCATACTAGGTTAAACAATCGGCAGTCATCCATGTTGCCTTTTCTAGCCTGTTATTAAGAGGCCCCAAACTAGACCCTGGAAAACTCTGGGGGGTCCATGCAGCTGGTTCTCACTTCCTGGTCTCGAATTTAAATTTTGAAATAGGAAAATACGGAAAAATGACTTATATCTTATTGTATGATTGATTTATAGTTTTCCGTTTCTACTTGAAATTTTTAGATATTCGTAGTAACAATTGTAAGGTGTTTGATATCTAGTTCTGGATCATGAAAAGAAAGTTACACACAATTAAGTGTTTATGTATATTTTGAGAATTTGAATTATATTCTGTTTAGTGTTTATATGCATCTAATAATGGAAATTGTGGTCTATATATTTACAAGTCATGTTCTTGTTAGACTTAATTAGTTCAATTATTGCATTAGTTATATCGATTTATTGTTATTAGTTTATAATAATCATTCCTTATTTTATGCGCTTCTTGTTAGACCCATATTAAATGTTTGATTATTCTTTATATGTTGAATTAGTTTTTATTGTACAATACATAATCAATATTCCTTCTATGATACAGGAAAACAAGAAGCAATTATTTTGCCTAATTAGTGATTGTATCTATGAGTTCAACGCTTTTGGATCATGAAGGTGGTTACTACATGGGATTGTTTTGTTATCCTTTCTTATTTTTTTGGTGTTTTGTTTAGAGAATTTGATTGTATGTTTTTGGATTTGGATTGAAGTACTCATAGATGGGCATCTACAAATTTGGCTATGCAAACGCCCTCTTAATATTCTATATATGTCATGATATTTGGAAACAATAGGATTTGGTAATTTAAAATGTTATTTGGTATTTGATGGATCATAATATATATGCAATGAGTAACTTAAAGCGTTATTTGTGTTGAATTGAATATAGTTATTTTATATTTACACCAAAAAAAAATGATTGTGTAAGAAAAAATATTGTACTGTACTTATTAAAAATATTGTACCAAATATGTACCATTTATTAACACTTTATTTGAAAGCGCTATCAAACATATGTTATATATTAGCGCTTTTTGTTTAGAGTGCTATAAAAAAACAAACAAAAAACATGCAAAATACTGACTTTGATAGCACTTTAATTAAAACGCTATTATAAATTGGTACTTTAATAGCGCTTTTAAAGTGCTATTAAATAAGAAATATTTACAATAGTGGCGCGGTTAATAGCACTTTTAAGCGCTATCAAAAACAAACAAAAAAGCGCTATTAAATAGCTTATTTGGCGTAGTGGTTCCTGTTGAGGTAGTAACCATCCCTGGCTCATTCATCACCGTTTGAAGCTCCAGATCCAGCTCCAGTAACCAGTCAGGACACATCTACACAAATAATTTGAAGACCAGCTCCTGTAACCAGTCAGGACACATCTACACAAAGAATTTAAAGATCAGCTCCCGTAACAGGTCAGGTAATCATTTTTCTGTTTTGCAGATATACAAGTTCTCGCTAAGGAAGCTCTTACGCGATCAACATCCAGATGGCATCTATAAGCCCATCCACCTTCCATCATCTCTTAGCATGGCATCTATAAGCCCATCATCCTATCCATCAATCTCCAAATGGCATATGTAAGCCCATTCCCCATATCACACTACTATGTGAGCGCAAATTTCTGGGCACTCTAGTGTTCAATCATCTTCCACCTTCGGATTACGAAAGGCACGTCAGCCAATCTGCATCCTCAGGTCTAAGAAGATTGAACAGGGGCAACTGTTGTACCCCAAAATTTGCCCTCCCATATTCTTCAAGAATTGCCAAGTCAAAGCTTCAAAGTTCCCCAAGGGTTGCACAGTGCAAGGGCCTCCTAAACAGTCAAAATTAGGGTTTTGGTTCTGACAAAGAAAATGAAGTTTCCAAGGGTCCAATCAAGTCTCACATGCCTATAAATATGGTCAAGCATCCTCATACCAAGTTTCAAGACTTACAGCACAAAATTGCACAGTCAAAAACCCTAATTGCACTACAGTCAACTGTAGGGGCAAAATGGTCATTTGACAGTCAAAAGTTCAAATTTTTGGTCAACATCTCATTTTGAAGCCACAAACATCATTTGATCAATGCTTGATCATGATTCTCAAAGCTTGGCTCAAAAATCATCAAGATGCAAAAGTTTCCATATTTGGACAGTTGAAAAAGTCAACTGTAAATTGACCAGGGCATAACTTTCACATGGATTATCAGAAAAATTCCATCCAAAGATCATTTTGAAGATAAAGACATTTCCTACAACTCCTCTTCACACTTCAAGTCCAAGAAATGCTCTCACAAAAAGTTATCAATTTCAACATTATAGGTCATTTTCAAAAGTCAACAAAAAGGGGCTTCAAGTCAAAGGCCATAACTTGATATTGGTAAATCAAAATGACATGGTACCAAAGGCATTGGTTAGAGGACTCAAATACCTTTCCAAAATGTCCAAGAACATGAGCAAAGCTTAAAAATTGAGCAAGTTATGCCTTGTGGAAGTTGGGAAATTTTTGGATATTTTGAAAAGTCAACATTGCTTCAAATGACCTAAAATTGCTAATGGGCCTCTTTTTCTTCCACAATTCATTATCCATGGCATGTGCACGACCATTTGTCCCAAAGGGAAGTTTTTTATCATTTTATTTTATTTATTTGGATTTTTAATCATTAATAATTCATTTAATTAAATTAAATAGGTAAAAAATACTAAACCTAATGTTTTGAATCTTTTTGTGTATAAAATAATCTCAAGATTTTGTGTATAATCAGATTTGGAAAGTATCTTGGTGATTGAACATGATTTGGACTAAGTTTGCATGAAAAAAGATTTGAAAACTAATGCCATAAAAATCAAATATTGATTCATCAATTCAATGATTCTTTGATCAATTTTCTTAACCTAAATCGTCCACACATAAATACAAAACGCAACCCTAGTGATCATGGACTCCCAGCTGCGCCAGAAATCCCTAAGCAAACTTGGAATTTTTCAAGAAAAACTCAAATCTGAAAACCATCTTCTAGGTCGATTCAAGCCAAGAAATTCATCCCATTACCTTCCTAGGACATCACTGAGTCTAACTGGATAGCTTTCCATACGCATAGCCCTTTGAATTGGTATACAGAAATCAATTTTTTTCACATAATATGCATAATCGTATTTTGATTTTCAAGCACATTCATTGCATTTTTCTTATGGATTCTGACTAATTGATGGATTCTGATGCTAACTGTGTAATTTAATTGTGTTTTTGTGTACTATACGTGATTCCACCATTGTTATCATCTAGGGTTTTCCAAGTTCTAAATTGGGCGTTTCCAGCTATTGTAAAATTAGGACAGGCCAATACCATGAACGAATTCAGCATGTTCAGACGAAAACAAATCCATCCTCGCGCCTAATTTATATGGTCGGACGGCCTATTCGCTATTTCATAAAATTGCATGTTTTGGGGGGGTTAAAAACCCCCGCTAACCACTTTCTATTTTCAGGAAATAAACAAACCACGAAGAAGATGATGAAGTGGCCATCAGTAATTGGTTTATTCAAATTCTCGCACGAAAAAAGCATTAGCGTTTGTTTTACCTTATTATGTTTATTGTCTATATAATATACAAAGAAGTAAAGTGGCACGATTGGCAAGGCGTTGTACTGGTAACCTCCAGGACCTGGGTTCGATCCCAGGTCCCCATCCCTTTCATATTATTTTTCTTTCAATTATCATCCTATGCAGATTATGCCCTGAGGAACACCAGGCGTCCACAACTTCCAACTTGCCACGCGTATAGAAAGACCAATTCAAGGGACCAGATCTGGTGAACACTATGGACGTGAGTCAACGCCTGGGCACGCTATCCTGGAAAGTCAATAAGGCCAAAGATGCTTGGGCCTAAAATGCTACAACATACCTCCAACTGGGGACAACACCCCCCAAGGTTTGCAAGTTTTTTTATATTTTTTCATTGTTTTGTTTTTTTAATTAATTCTTTTAATTTAATTATTTTCATAAAAAACACAAAAACAATAAAAATCAGAAAAAGACAAAAAATGATTATTTTAGTTAATTAATATATTTTTTTGTAAATAAATATTATTCATTAATTTTAGTTATTAAATTAGGTTTAATTTTAATATTTTCCTTAATCAATTTAAAATTTGGTAGAGTTAGGGTTTGTAATAATTTTTACCTTTTTTTCTTTTTCTTCATTAATTATTAAAATATTATTTATTTTTATAAATTAAAATTGCATGTAAATAATTAGGTTAATTTAGGTTTAACTTTAATATTTGTTTCTAATAAATAAAAATTGTAGAATTAGGTCTTTAATTTCATT